CAGTAAGTACTGTAAACAGATTTCAGTAATTGCTATGGGGGCCAATGGGAAGACCAGATGGTATTTAGATGAAAACTGTAAGAATTATAGCTATACCATAGATTTATATATAACATTATAGTCATATGGAATGGGGATGAAGAAAGTCTTCGGAAGTTCATGACCAGTCTTAAAGATAATCAAGAGAAGATTGTTCTGACATGGGAAATGAACAGTGAAAAAAATCCATTTTCTGGAACTGCAGATTAAAGCAGATAAAGATAGGATTAAAACTTGGACATTCTTTAAGCCAGCGGATACAAATAACTACATTTCCAATAATAGTTCATCAGAATTTATGGTTGGCTAATATTCCAAAAGGACAGCTATTAAGAATTAGGAGGAATTGTATGGAAAAAGATGACTATTTACACCAGGCTTCCAAACTTGGGGAAATGCTCATCAAAAAGGGCTGTAGAAAAAAATGTATTAAGGAGCAGATAGAAAAGGTTGGATTGGCAAATAAGAGGGAACTGATAAAGGATAAACAGAAAAATATGGATAAAGAAGAATATTCAGTAGCAATGCTTTAGATTATAATAGACAATATAGGACAGTGGAGAGAATAATTTAAAAACACTGGTCAGTATTAAAGGCAGATAGACTTGGTGATGTACTCCCCAAAAAAACCTAAATTTTTTTTTTAAAAAAGGACACCGACTCTGAGGAGTCAGTTAGTGAAGTATGTAGTAGGCCCCTCTGAAAATTAATCAGATCTAATTTTTTAATATGTTTTTATGCCTATTATTGATGCTATGGGTGTAAGAGGGTAAAAGATAACATTAAAAAAAGGAAAAAAAAATGTGTATCATGTACCACAGGAAAAAGAGTATAATATTAAAGATTATATAACAAGTCTGACCAAAGGTGTTGCCTATGGTATGCAATGCCCATGTGGGCTACAGTACATTGACTAAGTAAAAAAGAACATTAGCCAAAAGAATACAAGAGCATGTACATAACATATCTGTGGGTTTAAAAAAACATAATATGTCCAAGCATTTCTCTCTCGGTCATAATAGGTAAGCATCGGGATTGACCTTCTGAATTATTGAGAATAATAAAAAACATTGAAAGATGAACAATAATTTAAAAACATCGACCCAAAAACAGTCATGGTGGATTTACAAACTACAGACATTAGCTCAAGGGGTTAAGTATAGACTTGACCTGAAACTCAAAAAAAATTTGAATATCGTGCAAAAGTTCATTTAATTCAGTAATGCAACTTAAAAGGTGAAACTAATATATGAGATAGACTCATTACATGCAAAGCAAGATGGTTCAAGCCGTGATTTGTCATAATTGTGATGATTATGGCTTACAGCTCATGAAAACCCCAAATCCACAATCTCAGAAAATTAGAATATTACATGCAATCAATAAAACAAGGATTGTACATAGAACAATATCGGACCTCTGAAAAGTATAAGCATGCATATGTACTCAGTACTTGGTTTGGGCCCCTTTTGCTGCAATTACTGCCTCAATGCGGCGCGGCATGGAAGCTTGTGGCACTGCTGAGGTATTATGGAAGACCAGGTGCTTCAATAGCAGCCTTCAGCTCTTCTGCATTGTTCGGTCTCATGTCTCTCATCTTTCTCTTGGCAATGCCCCATAGATTCTCTATAGAGTTCAGGTCAGGCGAGCTTGCTGGCCAATCAGGCACAGTAATCCCACGGTCATTGAACCAGGTTTTGGTGCTTTTGGCAGTGTGGGCAGGTACCAAGTCCTGCTGGAAAAGTCAGCAGAAGTGACCAACGTAACAAAGGCTACCATCAGTAACACACTACGCCGCCAGGGACTCAGATCCTGCGGTGCCAGACGTGTGACCCCTGCTTAAGCCAGTACATGTCCAGGCCTGTCTGAAGTTTGCTAGAGAGCATTTGGATGATCCAGAAGAGGATTGGGAGAATGTCATATGGTCAGATGAAACCAAAATAGAACTGTTTGGTAGAAAACACAACTCGTTGTGTTTGGAGGAGAGAGAATGCTGAGTTGCATTCAAAGAACACCATACCTACTGTGAAGCATGGGGGTGGCAACATCATGCTTTGGGGCTGTTTCTCCACAAAGGGACCAGGACGACTGATCCATGTACAGGACAGAATGAATGGGGCCATGTATCATGAGATTTTGAGTGCAAACCTCCTTCCATCAGCAAGGGCATTGAAGATGAAACGTGGCTGGGTCTTCCAACATGACAATGATCCCAAACATACCGCCCGGGCAACGAAGGAGTGGCTTCGTAAGAAGCATTTCAAGGTCCTGGAGTGGCCTAGCCAGTCTCCAGATCTCAACCCTATAGAAAACCTTTGGAGGGAGTTGAAAGTCTGTGTGTTGCCCAGCGACAGCCCAAAACATCACTGCTCTAGATGAGAATGGGCCAACATACCAGCAACAGTGTGTGCCAACGTTGTGAAGACTTACAGGAAACGTTTGACCTCTGTCATTGCCAACAAAGGATATATAACAAAGTATTGAGGTGAACTTTTGATATTGACCAAATACTTATTTGCCACCATAATTTGCAAATAAATTCTTTCCAAATCAGTCGATGTGATTGTCTGGATTTTTTTTCTCATTTTGTCTCTCATAGTTGAGGTCTAACTATGATGCCAATTACATGCCTCTCTCATCTCATCAAGTGGGAGAACTTGCACAATTGGTGGCTGACTAAATACTTTTTTGCCCCACTGTATATATGTACAGTCATGGCCGAAATTGTATGGCACCCTTGATATTTTTCCTGAAAATCAAGTATTTCACACAAAAAAGGTATTGCATTAACACATGTTTTGCTATACACATGTTTTATTCCCTTTGTATGTATTGGAACAATATAAAACAGAGCAGAAAAGCAAATATGACATAATGTCACACAAAACCCCCACAAAATGGGCTGGACAAAAGTATTGGCACCCTTAACTTAATATTTGGTTGCACACCCTTTGGAAAACATAACTGAAATCAGTCGCTTCCTATAACCATCAATAAGCTTCTGACACCTCTCACCCGGAATTTTGGACCACTCTTCCTTTGCAAACAGCTCCAGGTCTCTCTTATTGGAAGGACACCTTTTCCCAACAGCAATTTTAAGATCTCTCCACAGGTGTTCAATGGGATTTAGATCTGGGCTCATTGCTGGCCACTTCAGAACTCTCCAGCGCTTCTTTGCCATCCATTTTCTGAGTGCTTTTTGACGTATGTTTGGGGTCATTGTCCTGCTGGAAGACCAGGATCTTGGACGCAAACCCAGCTTTCTGACACTTGGGCCCTACAGTGCGACCCAAAATCCTTTGGTAATCCTCAGATTTCATGATGCCTTGCACACAGTCAAGGCACCCAGTGCCAGAGGCAGCAAAACAACCCCAAAACATCATTGAACCTCCACCATTATTTTTACGTAGGTACTGTGTTTTGTTCTTTGTAGGCCTCATTCCGTTTTCGGTAAACAGTAGAATGATGTGCTTTACCGAAAAGCTCTATCTTGGTCTCATCTGTCCACAAGACGTTTTCCCATGAAGGCTTTTGGTTACTCAAGTACATTTTGGCAAACTGTAGTCTTGCTTTTTTATGTCTCTGTGTCAGCAGTGGGGTCCTCCTGGGTCTCCTGCCATAGCGTTTCATTTCATTTAAATGTCGACGGATAGTTCGCGCTGACACTGATGCTCCCTGAGCCTGCAGGACAGCTTGAATGTCTTTGGAACATGTTTGGGGCTGCTTATCCACCATCCGGACTATTCTGCGTTGCAATTCTTTCATCAATTTTCCTCATCCGTCCACGACCAGGGAGATTAGCTACAGTGCCATGGGTTGCAAACTTCTTGATAATGTTGCGCACTGTGGACAAAGGCAAATCTAGTTCTCTGGAGATGGACTTGTAACCTTGAGATTGTTGATATTTTGCCACAACTTTTGGTTCTCAGGTCCTCAGACAGTTCTCGTCTCCTCTTTCTGTTGTCCATGCTTAGTGTGGCACAGACAGACACACAATTACAAAGGTTAAGTGAAAAGGTCCCTTTTTATCTGCTTTCAGGTGTGATTTCTATATTGCCCACACCTGTTACTTGCCCCAGGTGAGTTTACAGGAGCATCACAAAGCTTGTAACATTCTTATTTATCCGCAGTTGTGAAAGGGTGCCAATACTTTTGTCCAGCCCATTTTTGGAGGTTTGTGTGACATTATGTCGAATTTGCTTTCTTTCCTCCCTTTTTTTGTTTTGTCCCAATACACACAAAGGGAAAAAACCATGTGTATAGCAAAACATGTGTTAATGCAATACGTTTCGTGAGAAATACATGATTTCCTGGTGAGAAATATCAAGGGTGCCAACAATTTCGGCCATGAACACACTGTGTATATATATATATATATATATATATATATATACACACACACTATATTGCAACAAAAGTAAAGGCTTCACCTGCCTTTACATGCACATGAATTTTAATGGCATCCCAGTCTAGTCTGGGGTTCAATATTGAGTTGGCCCACCCTTTGCAGCTATAACAGCTTCAGCTCTTCTAGGAAGACTGTCCACAAGTTTTAGGGTGTGTCTATGGGAATGTTTGACAATTAAATTGTCCAGAATGTCTTGGTATGCTGACGCCTTAAGGGGCCAAGCCCAACCCCTGAAAAACAACCCCATATCATAATCCCCCCTTCACCAAACTTTACACTTGGCACAATGCAGTCAGGCAATTACCATTTTCCTGGCAACCTGGCCAAATCCAGACACATCTATCGCAATGCCAGACAGAGAAGCATGATTCTTCACTCTAGAGAACATATCTCCACTGCTCTAGAGTCCAGTGGCGGTTGTGCTTTACACCACTGCATCCGACGCTTTGAATTACACTTGGTGATGTAAGGCTTGAATGCAGCTGCTCGGCCATGGTAATCCCATTCCATGAAGCTCTGTTGTTGTGCTAATCTGAAATTTGGAGGTATTTAGCTAGTGACTCTGCAGACAGTTGGCAACTTCTGTGTACTGTGTGCTTCAGCATGCGCTGACCCCACTCTGTCCTTTTACATGGCCTACCACTTCGTGGCTGAGTTTCTGATGTTCCCAGTTGCTACCACTTTGTTATAGTACCACTAACAGTTGACCATGGAATATTTAGTAGCAACAAAATTTCATGGATGGACTTAATGCACAGGTGGCAACCTATCACGGTACCACGGTTGAATTCACTGAGCTCCTGAGAGCGACCAATTATTTCACAAATGTTTTTAGAAGCAGTCTGCATGCCTAGGTGCTTGACTTTATACACATATGGCCATGGAGGTAACTGGAACACCCAAATCCAATGATTTGGAGGGGTACCCCAATACTTATGACAATATAGTATATATATATATATATATATATATATATATATATATACTGCATATACACTGCTCAAAAAAAGGAACACTTTTTAATCAGAGTATAGCAAAAAGTTAATTAAACTCCTAGGATATTGATCTGGTTAGTTAAGTAGCAAAGGGGATTGTTAAACAGTTTCAGCTGCTTTGGTGTTAATGAAATTAACAACAGATGCAGTAGATGGACAACAATGAGACGACCCCCAAAACAGGAATGGTTTTAAAGGTGGAGGCAACTAACATTTTTTTCCCTACTCAGATTTTCTGACTGTTTTTCACTAGTTTTGCATTGGGCTAGGGTCAGTGTCACAACTAGACCCTACAGAGGTTGCACAGGAAGTCCAACTCCTCCAGGATGGCACATCAATACGTGCCATTGACAGAAGGTTTGCTGTGTCTCCCAGAACAGTCTCAAGAGCATGGATGAGATTCCAGGGGACAGGTAGTTACTCTAGGAGAACTGTACAGGGCTGTAGAAGGTCCTTAACCCATGAGCAGGACCGGTATCTGCTCCTTTGTGCAAAGAGAAACAGAATGAGCACTGCCAGAGCCCAACAAAATGACCTCCAGCAGGCCACTGGTGTGATTATCTTTGACCAAACAATCAGAAACAGACTTCATGAGGGTGGCCTGAGGGCCCAACGTGCTATAGTGGGTCCTCTTGCCACGGCCCAGTACCATAGAGCTCGATTGGCATTTGCCATTGAACACCAGAATTGTCAGGTCCACCACTAGCACCCTGTGCTTTTCACAGATGAGAACAGGTTCACCCTGAGCACATGTGACATTACGTGAAAGGGTCTGGAGAAGCCGTGGAGAACGTTATGCTGCCTGTAACATTGTTCAGCATGACCATTAAGGTTGTGGGTCAGTGATGGTCTGAGGAGGCATATCCAAGAAGGGATGCACAGACCTCTACAGGCTAGACAATGGCACCCTGACTGCCATTATGTTTCGGGATTAAATTCTTGGACCTATTGTCAGACCTAACACTGGTGCAGTGGGACCTGGGTTCCTCCTGGTGCACAACGATGCTGCCAGGCCTCATCTGGTGAGAGTATGCAGGCAGTTCCTAGAGGATGAAGGAATTTATACCATTGAATGGCCCCCACGCTCGCCTGACCTAAATCCAATAGAACACCTCTGTGATATCATGTTTCGGTCTATCTGACGCCACCAGGTTGCACCTTAGACTGTCCAGGAGCTCAGTGATGCCTTGGTCCAGATCTGGAAGGAACTAGCCCAGGAGACCATCCGCCGTCTCATTAGGAACATGCCCCGACAATGTCAGGCATGCATACAAGCATGAGGGGGCCATACAAACTACTGAGAGTACTGCATCATATTGTCACTTTAGTTTTTGGGGGGCTTTGAATTCAGTCCTCTGTAGGTTGATATTTTTCATTTCCATGAAATGTATTTTTTTTTTCCGGAAGTTGGACTAGGCCTTTGAACCTATTCAAACGATATGTGGGTCCCCTTTGAAAAAGACTATACTGATGAAATGTGTTAGAGTGGGACTAGTGTAGCTGTGTCAAGGTGCTCCATCTACTGATTTGGAGAGCTGCCTGTATAGTGGTCAGTGTTCTGGTTCTCCAGCCTGTGGCGGCTACATTCATAATGCCGATTATGTGCTAATTTTTGTAATTTGTGTATCTCGCCTTTAATAAAACACTAGTTTTGAAGTTATCACACTATGAAGTTTCTTCTTTGTTTTATTGTGATGTTTGCTGTGGAGACTGGGGAGCTCTTTGGCTGATCCAAGGGCAAAGTGGATTTGAGGAATCTGACAGTTTTGTTTTCAAAGCACTGCATGGTATTTATTATTATTTATTATACAGGATTTATATAGCGCCAACAGTTTGCTCAGCGCTTTACAATATAACAGGAGACAATACAGCAACAATACAGTTCAATACAAGAGGGAAAGGAGGGCCCTGCTCCTTGGTGCTTACAATCCAGGAGGGAGGGGCTAGTGGTACAAAAAGGTAGTAACTGTGGGGAATGGACTGGTTGGAAGAGTAGAAGATTCCGTTATTAGCTGAGGGCAGGATAGGCTTCCCTGAAGAGATACGTTTTCAGAGATCGCCTAAAAATTGTGATAGTCTGATAAATTGGGGTAGAAAGCTCCAGAGGATGGGGAAGCTCTGGAAAAGTCCTGGAGATGAGCGTGGAAGGAGGAGACAAGGGAGTTAGAGAGCAGGAGGTCTTGTGAGGAACAGAGAGTACGGTTTGAGTGATATTTAGAGACAAGATCGTTGATGTCATTTGGGCCAGAGTTATAAATGGCTTTATACCTTATTGTTATTGTTTTGAATTTTATCCGTTGGACAATGGGAAGCCAGTGGTGGGATTGGCAGAGAGGGGTTTAGTAAGGTGGATAAGTCTGGCAGCAGCATTCATGATAGACTGAAGAGGGGATAGCCTGCAATTCGGTAGGCCAATGAGGAGGGAGTTACAATAGTCAAGGCAAGATATAACAATGGAGTGAATAAGTTGCTTAGTGGTTTCCGAGGTTAGGAACGGACGTATCTTGGAGATGTTGCGGAGGTGAAGTCTACAAGATTTGGACAGTGATTGGATTTGGAGGTGAAAGGACAGATGGGAGTCTAATATTACACCTTGTACCCTGGCATGAGGGGAGGGACTAATGATTGTGTTATTGATCTTGATGGAGAAGTCAGGGGAGGGGGCACGGGCTGGGGGAAATACTAAGAGCTCAGTTTTGGAAAGATTGAGTTTGAGGAAGTGGAGTGACATCCATGCCGATATGTCACTTAGTAGGTTAGTAATGCGAGAGGAGACTGAAGGGGTGAGATAAGGGTAGAAAGATAGATTTGTGTGTTATCAGCATAGAGATGGTACTTAAAGCCATGGGAGTTTATCAAGTGACCAAGGGAGGAGGTGTAGATGGAAAAGAGAAGGGGTCCAAGGACAGATCCTTGAGGCACCACTACAGAAAGAGGGAGTGCAGAGGCGGAGGCGGCAGTATAGGTAACGCTGAAGGAGCGCTGCGATAGGTAGGAGGAGAACCAGGAGAGAGCAGAGTCTCTGAGACCAAGAGAGGGGAGTTTTTTAAGGAGCAGGGGATGGTCAACCATATCAAAAGCCGCAGAGAGGTCAAGTAGTAAGAGTATGGAGTAGTGGCCATTGGTTTTAGCTGTTAGTAGATCATTAGTGAGTTTTAGTAGGGCAGTTTCAGTGAAGTGTAGTGAGCAAAAGCCAGACTGTAAAGGATCAAGAAGGTTGTTGTCGGTGAGGTGGGAGCTCAGGTGGTTGTAGACTAAGCGTTCTAGGAGTTTAGAGGTAAATGGCAGCAGGGAGATGGGTCTTAAGTAGAGATGAGCGAAGTATTCAAAAATTCGATTCGGCTGATTCGGCGAATTCGAGGAATAAATTCGATTCGATGCGAATATATTCGCTGCAAATTTAACTTATAAAAAGGGTTTCTAGGCTTCAGAGAGCCTTTATATTAGTGCAGAACACTGTACCTTTAATTTAAATGCCCTTGGAGTCTGCTGGGAAGAGAAATAATACTGTCAGTCAGTATGACATGCAGATGAGTGCCGTCGATCTTAGAATCACCGCACACTTCACTCATTTGGGCAGTCACGGGGCCAGGCATACAGCAACCAGAGTGTGGAGGAGCCACAGTGTGGGCGAGGAGACAGCAGGGGAGGCCCGTACAGGCAGCACTCTGACCTGGCAATGGGAGGCCATACAGCACCCTATGACAAAAAATGGAACCCACCAGCAGTGTGAGGAGACCTGAAAGTGGCACATGGCAGAGTGTGGCGATGGAGACAGCAGCAATGGGAGGCCGTACAGGGACCCATGAGACACTCTGGACCTGGCAGCAGCATGAGGAGGCGGGGTACGGGGGCCCATGGCAGATTACGGGCCTGGCAGCAGCAATGGGAGGCCCGTAATCTGCCAGCACCCTATGACAAAATGGAACCCACCAACAGTGTAAGGAGACCTGAAAGTGGCACATGGCAGAGTCTGGCGATGAAGTCAGCAGCAATGGGAGGCCGTACAGGGACCCATGACACACTCTGGACCTGGCAGCAGCAAGAGGAGGCGGTACAGGGGCCCATGGCAGAGTGGCGAAGCGTAAGCAGCTTAAATTGAAGGCCATACAGAGGCCTATGTTAAAAATATAATAACATGTTTGGGGCATGATTCATGGCGGATTTAGTCAGTTGTGTCAGGAACTGTGGTTTGAAATCCAGACTAATCCACGCCTGATTCATTTTCACAAACGTGAGTCTCTCCACACTTTGGGTGGACAGTCGTGTCCTCCGCGGAGTTACAATACCTCCTGCCGCACTAAACACGCGCTCCGATGCCACGCTACTGGCGGGCATGACAACCTTTCAAGGGCAAATTCAGCTAGTTGGGGCCAAAGGTCAAGTTTCGTTGCCCAGTAGTCAAGGGGATTGTCTACCCTCGGTTGGCAGGGTGCTGTCCAAGTAGGCCCGAGCCTGTTGTTTGAGGTCCTGCTCTCAGGTCCACCTGATGCTGCTGCTTGCTGCGCGGCTGGTTAGTAGTTTCCTCACTGCGCTGGTGAAAGAAAGCTACTCATCACCGACTGCAGACTGAGGCAGCTGCTGCTGGTGGAGCTGCCACTGCTCCTACCACCCCACCCCTCCCCTGCTGCCATGGCAGCGGAACGCGAGCGCACAGGGCCCACAGTGTCTGAGGATGGACGTTGGCGCAGAAAGGCAGAGACCAACTGACTACATAGGTGGTTTTATATAGTACGTTATTTTGGCCTCCCTCTCAGCAGGTGTGAAAAAGGCCACCATTTTTGAACGGTAGCGAGGGTCCAACAAGGTGGACAGCCAAAAGTCATCCCTCTGTCTGATGGTTATTATTCGGCTGTCGCTACGCAAGCAACCGAGCATGCTATGGGCCATTTGTGCCAAGGAATGCGAGGGACTCCCTGCCATCCATCTCCACAGCATACTGCCACGGTGCGTCTGGGTCCTCTGTCTCCTCCACGCCTCCTCCTCTACCAGATGCTCCTGCTCCTCCACTCCTGTCCGCTGAGTGGAAAAACCACCCATTTCACTCAATAATTCCTGAGCACCAATGTCCTCCTCTACCTCCTCCTCTTCTTCCTGTCCATGCCCCCACAGGGTCATGTGGCGTTGAGATCTGTGCGCCACGTCTACCGCACCCTGACCAGCCATTGTTAACAGCATTTGTTCCAGGACGTGCAACAGAGGAATGACGTCGTTCATACCCATAGTCCTGCCGACTCACGAATAGCGTGGCCTCCTCAAAGGGCCTGAGCAAGCGGCAGGTGTCACGCATGAGCTGCCAATGGCTGACATCTAAGTTACACAGGGGAGTACCTTTATCCGCTTGTAACATCAGGAAATCGGTGATGGCCTTTCGCTGTTCGTAAAGGCGGTTAACATATGTAGGGTTGAATTCCACCTTGTTGCAACGTCACAGCATGAGGAGTCGGTACGGGGGCCATGGCAGATTACGGGCCTGGCAGCAGCAATGGGAGGCCCGTAATCTGCCAGCACCCTATGACAAAATGGAACACACCAGCAGTGTGAGGAGACCTGAAAGTGGCACATGTTAGAGTGTGGCGATGGAGACAGCAGCAATGGGAGGCCGTACAGGAACCCATGAGAGACTCTGGACCTGGCAGCAGCATGAGGAGGCGGTACAGGGGCCCATGGCAGATGACGGGCCTGGCAAGCAGCAATGGGAGGCCCGTAAACTGCCAGCACCCTATGACAAAATGGACAGCACACCAGCAGTGTGAGGAGACCTGAAAGTGGCACTGGCAGAGTGTGGCGATGGAGACAGCAGCAATGGGAGGCCGTACAGGGACCCATGAGAGACTCTGGACCTGGCAGCAGCATGAGGAGGCGGTACGGGGGCCCATGGCAGATTACGGGCCTGGCAGCAGCAATGGGAGGCCCGTTATCTGCCAGCACCCTATGACAAAATGGAACACACCAGCAGTGTGAGGAGACCTGAAAGTGGCACATGGAGACAGCGAAAACCAGCAATGGTAGGCCGAACAGGGGACCCATGAGATGGAGCAGCATGAGGAGGCGGTACAGGGGCCCATGGCAGATTACAGGCCTGGCAGCAGCAATGGGTGGCCCGTAATCTGCCAGCACCCTATGACAAAATGGGACAAACCCAGTCAGTGTGAGGAGACCGAAAGTGCACATGGCAGAGTGTGGGCGATGGAGACAGCAGCAATGGGAGGCAGTACAGGGACCCATGAGAGATTCTGGACCTGGCAGCAGCTGAGGATGGCGGTACAGGTGCCATGGCAGATTACGGGCCTGGCAGCAGCAATGGGAGGCCCGTAATCTGCCAGCACCCTATGACAAAATGGAACACACCAGCAGTGTGAGGAGACCTGAAAGTGGCACATGGCAGAGTGTGGCGATGGAGACAGCAGCAATTGGAGGCCCGTACAGGGGACCCATGAGAGATTCTGGAGCTGGCAGCAGCATGAGGAGGCGGTACAGGGGCCCATGGCAGATTACGGGCCTGGCAGCAGCAATGGGAAGCCCGTAATCTGCCAGCACCCTATGACAAAAATGGAACACACCAGCAGTGTGAGGAGACCTGAAAGTGGCACATGGCAGAGTGTGGCGATGGAGACAGCAGCAATGGGAGGCCGTACAGGGACCCATGAGAGATTCTGGACCTGGCAGCAGCATGAGGAGGCGGTACAGGGGCCCATGGCAGATTACAGGCCTGGCAGCAGCAATGGGAGGCCCGTAATCTGCCAGCACCCTATGACAAAATGGAACACACCAGCAGTGTGAGGAGACCTGAAAGTGGCACATGGCAGGCAGAGTGTGGCGATGGAGACAGCAGCAATGGGAGGCCGTACAGGGACCCATGAGACACTCTGGACCTGGCAGCAGCATGAGGAGGCGGTACAGGGGCCATGGCAGATTACAGGCCTGGCAGCAGCAATGGGAGGCCCGTAATCTGCCAGCACACTATGACAAAATGGACAGCACAGCAGTGTGAGGGAGACCTGAAAGTGGCACATGGCAGAGTGTGGCGATGGAGACAGCAGCAATGGGAGGCCGTACAGGGACCCATGAGACACTGTGGACCTGGCAGCAGCATGAGGAGGCGGTATGGTTACAGGGGGCCCATGGCAGATTACAGCCTGGGCAGCAGCAATGGGAGGCCGTAATCTGCCAGCACCCTATGACAAAATGGAACACACCAGGCAGTGTGAGGAGACCTGGAAAGTGGCACATGGCAGAGTGAGGGCGATGGAGACAGCAGCAATGGGAGGCCGTACAGGGACCCATGAGACACTCTGGACCTGGCAGCTGCATGAGGAGGCGGTACGGGGGCCCATGGGCAGATTACGGGCCTGGCAGCAGCAGCAATGGGAGGCCCATTAATCTGCCAGCACCCTATGACAAAATGGAACACACCAGCAAGTGTGAGGAGACCCTGAAAGTGGCCACATGCAGAGTGTGGCGATGGAGACAAGCACAATGCAATGGGAGGCCGTACAGGGACCCATGACAGATTACGGGCCTGGCAGCAGCATGAGGAGGCGGTACAGGGACCCATGGCAGATTACGGGCCTGGCAGCAGCAATAGAAGCCCGTAATATGCCAGCACCCTATGACACAATGTAACACACCAGCAGTGTGAGGAGACCTGCAGAAAGTGGGCAACATCGGCAGAGTGTGGCCGATGGAGAACAGCAGCAATAGGAGGCCGAACAGGGACCCATGGGGGAATTTGGGACCCGGGCAGAAAGGGGGGGGGGGGA